AGAAAATAAATTGGTTTTAGAAAATGCAATCAAAGTGTATAATGTATACATCAATGTACTGTTTCTTCTCCCTTGTGATGTAAAATGCAAAGGTATTCAAGCAGAAGGTCAGACTGTTAGCTCTGCAGTGTTCCATAAAAGGCTCTCCTCTATTATCTGTAATTCCTAACCCTTTAACCTAACCAGTTTTTCTTACGGCTCTTATTTTTCTCTGAGCTTAATTTAAATCACAAAGCTTTAAAAAAAGTCAAACTTAATTTAATACATAAGAATATCAGATGAAACCTTTCCATTGTGTAAGTGAATTCTTCAGTTTTTAAAGAGGATTTGTCACTTTAAAATATCTTATTCATCAGTCTGTTTGATGTAAGTTAAGAAAACGGCTATTTTAAGAGCTTACTCTCTCTATAGAAACAGTAGATTTTTTTCTTGAAATCTGACCTTCCTTGTCCACCTTACAACATTCCTTCTGCTTGATATTTCTCTCCCTTTATGTTGCTGTCCATAGTAATCAACAGGAGTGGACATACCATTTGGACAGCAGCAAAGGGCCATTGAGTGCTTAGGAGGCCATTTAACATACAGTATATACCTCAAATATAGATAAAGGTCTGATAGGTGTTTGGAGCCCCTCCTTCTTTCACATAGCATTGGACCACTTTTCACCTCTCAATCAGGTAATACTTCCCATGAACCAAAACAACAAATGGAGACAAATTCCTTTTAGCTATAAGCAATTTGTTGTTTTGGTTCATCTTTACAGCCACTTAAGCCTACTTATATAGGTTCCCAATATAGAGAGCCCCTTGGTGGTAGCCAGACTGGTGCCTATACATTCAGTACACCGGTCTTCCTGCCCACAGGGTCGTGATCTAAGTGTAATATATACGAGAGCATCTTTTTTTGATACAACTGTCCAATTACAAAAATTGATTGTCATGCTTTAATGTTTTTAATGGTAGACAATGGTCAAATGGCTTTGTCCTAATTGATTTTTCTAAATAAATTAATATTTTTGCAAAGAATTTGCTTGTCCGGATCCTCAGTTAACCTCTTTCAACCAGCTATCTCTTAGCGGGTTAATCTTTTTGTATATGCCTTGTCTTGGTTACGGATCGGTCTAACAAGCAAAGCTGCTTTTCTAATTAAGGGTGATGTTTTAACAAGTCGGATCTCCAGGCAGAAACACAAACCTTTTTACATATTTTATTTAGTGTTAAACTCACCCTAATATATGTTTTGTGTTGCTAAATCTTTGCATTTTTTTACATTTTGGTATGGCTTTGGTGGAGGTAGTGGAGACATAATTAAGGGAAATTCACACTTTTGGAGCCTTTAGAAATATGTAAGTTGTACACAGTAATAAGTATGCTGCAAATTCTACTCACCATTGTCTATCCAATGAATCAGATACCTAAAGAGGACCTAAACTGTGGAAGTTTAATATTACTCTGAAGGTATACAGCCATGAGGCTACAGCCACCAAAGTGTCTTATTTGTCAGTAGAGATTCAAGACAAAAAAAAATACATTTTTGTTCAGGGTATTCTATGCTTTTTTTAGTTCATGTCTACTTTAATTAGAAATGGCCCATTCCATTTCTTATGTTTCCCATCTGCTGCTGGTTGCTAGTGGGAGTACACTGTAACATGAGAATACTGTAGAGGTATTTTATTCTTTGAAACACAACTAAATAAAATAAAAACATCAACAACACCATTAGTATAAAAAAAGAATACACACATGACTTTGGTGCACTGCCAAATTTTATTTTCCCTTATATTGACGTAGGAAAAAATTTGACATAAATGGTGGTTAAATTCAAGACATACAGTACATGTCTTATATAAGGAGAACCCGTTATGCACCCATTCATCTCTCCTGGGAATTACATTCTCCTATGAATTTGTTCTGCTGATTTAGCAGTGACTGTCCTCCATACTAGTTGTTGTCTGTAGCTTCCATTAACACAGCTGAGTGTTCTTCTGCCATGACACTCAATGCGTTGTCCAAAAAAAAGCAGAAATAAATCAAATTAAAAAAAGGCAGTTTTCAATAGTGTTAAGGATCCGACAGAGTATTAATATCTTATTATTTTGAAAATATATATAAATCACATCCTGGTAAACTCAAATTCAGAAATAAATGCATGTTTGTATATAATAAAATAAAGATACATATACAAGGTTTAAGGTTTGTTTGAAGAAATCCTACTACAAGAACTCTTCAGATTGAACGTCACGCGAATGAAACACTGACTCATAGAATCAAGGATTCATTTTTTTGAATGGATTAGCTATCTCTAAGTACATTTTAAAGGAAAATTTTAGTTTTCCTACAGTCAAATATAACCAATTGCTGTGGTGACATGAAAAATGGAATGTTGTGGCACTTCTCAAATTGGCCAAAATAAACAGAAATCAATTGGGTATGCAAGCATGTGTCACTAATGGAACCGTCACGTAGCATAACCATTTATTTCCATGTTCCAATCCTTGATCACCATAATTCCAAAGATGGCTACGTCTCCTATCTTGTGCCATAGCACAGCATTACCAAAAATAGCAATTTATAAACTGCATTAGTTGCTCTATACCCCTGAGAGAAATCTTGTTACAATTGAGGTGCTATATAAATCTGTTGCATTTAAGAATTTCCATGATTGGTAAACACATTCACGAAGCTGTACTGTTAGCTGTCAGCAGGCTTATTTACTGTTAGATAAATGGTAGGCATACTTGCACTGCTGACTCCACAATAATCTTTTGGTATTAATATTACATAGTTTGGCATAACACAGTGTAATCAGAGTCTTCCAAATATACTCATTCTAGCTTCCTAAATTTGATGGCAATGTACCAATTCTGTGTTCACTTTAAAGAAAATTTCGCTTGTTGCAGTGAGCTATTGTACATTTTTGTTTAGCTCCTGCTGTAAAGATTTTATTTATTGTATTGTACTTTACTAAAAATGCAAGGAACCACTCTTGTCAGTTAGCTTTTCCCCTAATTTTGAACTTCAGAACCACATTATACAACGATGGTTAATATTTAAATAGCGTAGTATATGAAGTTGTTTGGAAAGTTGGAGGCAAAAAAATGCTTATTTTTCCATCCCACAGATTACAGAGACATAAGCAGACAACATGCTCTTCTTTCTTTGCTATATGTGCATGTGTTTTGGGCAAAAGCGAAGAAGAGAAAGACAGAATAACAAATGTCTTAAGTGACTATCATATGAAGGAAGGAAAAGAGGTGAGTGGCAGTGTATGGGTTTAAATACGTAGAGACATAAAAGGGACATTATCCCATTTCCTGTGTTCTAGAAAAAACAACAGTCCCAATGGGTGCAAGTTTGTTTTGCCTTGTCCATAATAACATCCCAAGCAAGTCCCAAGGCTATGCCATTTCTGTGACCCTCCTGATGTAGTTTCTGAGTTCATGTGGGTCCCTCAGTCCCATATCCCGGCAAACCCATTCAAGATCACATTCTTCTGCACCTGGCACTGCATCATAAACAGTACCTTCACTAGGCAAACTAGTAAAAGTAGTAAACTTTACACGCTTGCGCTTGGATGTGGGAGAGGAGCTTAATGGGTCCTCGCTGGCTTCCCTACTTGAGCCACCCCCACCAGAGGAGCCATCTCCACGTCCATGGGATTGGCTTTGCACACTAGCCTGAGAACTGCTGTTACTGCTGCTTCCTCTTGCTTCTCCTCTACAGCAAGAAGAATGATGAGGAGGTAGTGTTCCTGTTTCCAAGAGATTACCAGGACTTTCAGGTTGTGGTGATAATTCTCCTCGAGCCCTGAGGGGCTGTCCATTTCCCAAGAATACCCAGTGGTGGGAGTGATCTGGATTGGCCTGGCCCTCTGGTGGAACTCTTTTGTGTCTATACTTAAGAACAAACACAATGCAGTTTATGAGGAAGACCAGAATGGCAAGACAGAAAACCCCTAGAAGAGCATACATCCCAATCTCCAGGTCTGTCAATCCTCGTGGAAGTTGAGGAAACACTGTAGGTAGTGGTAAAGGATATTCCCCAGGGACATGGGAGCTGTGCTCTTCAGATGTTGTGGATATCATTGTCATAGATGTTGTTCTCGATGTGTCTCGGTTTTCTTGCACAGGAGAGTGTGGCAAGACCTCAGTAACGGATTTTCCAGATTCACCTTCCCCTCCTGGTTCACTGGATCCAAAAACAACATGAACTACAGCTGTTGCCGTTGCCAATATACTTTTCCGCTTAGTTTTCTGGCAGCTCTCATTAATGATCATCTCTGCTTTCAGCAAAGGCCCTGTTCCTTGCTCCTGACCAGCAAAAACAAGAGGAAATGTATGATCTGGGCTCACAGATACCACCTGTTCATCCATGCTACTCAGAGCCAATATATAATCCTTAGGATCATAGAGGGACAATGGAGCTGCAGTACCATCACTGAATGTAAGCCAAAGGTTCACCAAACCATCCTACAAAAGAGTGAAAATGTAATTAGTTCTGCCTCTAATTGAGCTACATCTGCTAATGGCATTATTTTTTTAGCTAAAAGTATCACTACAATTTACTTAAAATTTTTCTTAATATTTCAATAATTGTGATAAAAATCTAATTTAAAAAATGATAATAATATAGACATTGGTACAGAAAACCTTTATTACACTTTAGCTCTACCCTGTTAAATCTCTATATCTCTGATCAATTTTAGGTCTGGATTAGCATCCAGAAGACACACTGCAGCAGAGCAGGTGGAGGACCAACTAACAATAGATTTTAAAAAACTTTCTAGACCAACAGTAGGGCAATGGTAGTCATTTATTTCCACACTGGTTTTGGGGCCAAATCCATCTGCAACTCTCAGTTTGGAGAACAAGCTATGGTAGCACAAATTCTGAGCATGGCACAAAAGGTTGGCAAATGTGTAGCACAGGGCCAAATCCAGCTACCTATAGGATGCAGAGGACAAATTTACAATATGGAATGTGAATTAAAGTTAAACAGTGAAATACAAAGAATGTTTGGTTCCCCATCTTAAAATATTCTCAGTGTTTTCAACACACTACTTCAGTTAGGTGACCAGACATACATTGTTATTGTGATATACTTTTAATACTGGCTTTTGAAGATGCATTATTTATATAAATGTTTACTAATATAGTAGCACAGTATATTTAAAACAGGTCTATATCTTTGGCTAAAATAATGTATTTCAAAATTATACATGTTTTGAAAAAATATAAAATGGTAGATCTAGATAGTATAAAGTGCTCATTAAAAGTAATTGACATTGATGCACACGGATCTGATGTTATCTGAGAGCGCTTACCTGTTTTGGAGATTTTAGCATGTGCTGGGCAGTTGTCTTGGCTATTATAGTGTGACTGTTTCCTGGGCTGGCATGAAGGGAGAGGGAGAGGCCAGATATCACCTGTGCCTGGAGTTCTATAATGCTTACTTTCTCCTCAGTCACTGTAATTGTTGTTTCACCTAAAACTGCCTCCATAAGAGGGGATACCACCTATTCAAATTAGAAAAGAAAAAATTACTTATTTGGAAGTTATTAACCTTCTCAAAAACTACAATTACATTTATTACAAATAACTTTAATTTTAACATCTGTCATCACCAAAAGCCATGGGTCTTAGTAGTGTATATATATATATATAT